AGAAGAAGAAGAAGAAGAAGAAGAAGAAGAAGAAGAAGAAGAAGAAGAAGAAGGAGGAGGAGGAGCAGGAGGAGGAGGAGGAGGAGACGAAAAGCGGAAGGCGAAGAGAAGGCGAGGAGTAGATCAGAAAGAAGAGCATGGATGAATTGGAGAGGAGATGGATAGGTAAATGGACAGGAAGAAGAAGGAGCGGATGACAAGAATGGAGAGGAGGAGATGGGATAGATAGGAAGAAAGGAGGAAGGAATGGAGAAAGACATAGTGGAAGGAGGAGGGGAGATGATACCCGGGGACCTCGAGAAGAGAAAGAGGGGGGGGGGAGGAGGAGGAGGGGACAAGACAACAAGAGGGAAAGGGAGTAGGAGAATGGGAGAATGGAAAGATGGAAAGAAGCAGAAGAAGGGAGATACATGTGAGTGAGGAGGAGAGAAAGGGGGCAAAGAGGAGCAGAAGAAGTTTGCTCTCAATTGCCCCCCCCCCCTTAAATACACGTCTGCCCCACTCCATCCCACCCCTAGCCCCAATACTATTACTACACACCCTATCCTCTCCCCCCTTCTCCCTATCCAGTCCTCTGAAAAATAAAATAAAAGACTAAATAAAACAAAGTCGGAAACTTACTTTTACTTTACTTTTTCCTTCTTCTGGTATTCTTAGAATGTCGAGGGGATGTGCAAGTTTTGGTCCTGTGCTAGACCCTCGACATCATAAGGATACCAGAGGCAAGGAAAAAGGAAAAGGCCAGGTGTGTAGCGTCTGTGATAGATATGTTACGTTGTTCTAGGACCTTTTTAACCCCATCCAGCCAGGTCTTTCTGGGTCTTCCTCTTGATTTGAAGCCGGATTTTCGGGGTGTTGTAAGCTCTAGCCGCTAGATGTTTCTGGGGCATTCCGGTTAGATGTCAAAGCCATTTGACTCTTTGACGCTCTTTGAATTTTATTACTGGTGCTATTTCCATTTGTAGACGTATTGTTTCGTTTCTTATGCGGTTTCTTCTGTTGACGTTGATGGTTTTGCGGAGACACCTCATTTCGCATGCATTGATTTTTCTTTCTTGTTCCTTGTTTAGAGACCATGTTTGGCACTGGTATGTCAATGTTGGCATTAAGATATTATTGCTGGGATTTCACTTCGGTCGGGATGTTCTTATGACTGAGCAGGGGTGCTAGCTGGTAGGTCGCTGCATATGCCTTCATAGTTCTTGTTTCTATTTCTTTGTCCGTACGCCCATCCTGTGTGAAGATGCTTCCCAAAAATTTAAACTCCTCTACTTATTGGAGCTGTGTTCCATAAATAAAAATTTTGAGTTTCCCTGGGTTTCTGCTGACCTTCATAACTTATGTTTTTGAGATGGAGATTTTCATGTTCAGGTGTTTACATTCTTCATTTAGTTTTGTTGTGTTTTTTTGTAATTCCTCTTCATTTTTAAATAATATACTCTGGTCATCAGCAAATATAAGCTTGTTCAGTTCAATGATGTTGTCATTTGCTGCTTTCGTGATCTTATCCATGTAAGTGATGAAAAGAAGCGGAGAGAGAACCCACCCTTGTCTTACCCCAGACCTGATGGGGAACCAGTCAGATAGTCCTTCTGTTGATCTTAAGGAACACATAATTTTTTATAAAGTGCTATGATTTTCTCTAGAAATTGTCCTCTTACACCGTATTCCTCTATGTCTTCCCAAAGTTAACCTCTATATTTCGGTCAAACGCCTTTTCCTGATCCACGAAGGCGATATTGAGGTCTTTGTCATGTGCAATGTCTTAAAGCAAAAATTACCCCAGTACAGCCCCTGCCTTTTCTGAAGCCAAACTGGTATTCACTGAGTTGAGTCTCTACAATTGGTCTCATTATCATTTCAAGTTTTAAAAAAAAAAAGTCG